GGCTCTTTCGTAAACGAGTCCAATCTACCTTCATTTTAGATNAAAAATAAAATAAAATAAAATAAAATAAAATAAAATAAAATAAAATAAAACATACAATATATAACCTAACAGCTTAAAAGCTCATGATAAAGACTAGGAGCACTAGTCAGGGATTTTCTCCAATCAAATGCAAATTAACTGACTCCTAATTCAACTAGGCTATATAAATACACTACTTTATGAGCTCTTTACCTCCTTTATGACTTTTTTCTTTGATTGAAATACTCTGAAATACTCAAAAATAGCTTAAGGCAAGTGGAAGTCGGAAAAAAAATATTATCAATGAACCTCGTGCACGACCGACAGACAATTAATTTGTTTAGGACTTTAATGTCACTTCTAATCCGTTGTGTCTCAATTTTTAATTCAGCACCAGAAAGAAACGAAATTAAAAAAGAGCAAAAATAGAATTTAATAATGTGTTGTAGAGGCTGCGTGCGGTCTCTTCTCAATTATATATGTTACTTGATTTCTTAGCTTTATGGCACATGCACAAATAGGTAAGCCATATATATATATACACCGAATCCCTAAAACTCTGATAATTCAGCGATATATATACATTTATATATATCCCCCTTTTTCCTATTGTCTTTATATATTTTGTGAGCTTTGAATGTTTTGGAAATCATTGTATATATAACAATATACATACACACAATGTGGTATACATTTATACATATATCTAATAAGATGCAAGATATCAAATGAGATGCAGAATATAAAAAAGTGACTTGTTTGGTCTTATTTATCTTCTATTGTATCAGAAACATAAGTATTGCACAAAGTCAAGTTAAAAATATTTTCCATAAATTGTAGTGGCTAAGCAATCGTATTTAAGCATGTTTTACATTCTGTATCTAATTCGATATCTTGCATCTCATTAGGTATCTGTATAAATGTATACTACAACCTTTCTGCAACCAAGTGTGCAACCAATTGTATATATATATAAAGCGTTTTGCAAAAATTCTGCAAAAGTCAAGTATGTCTAATATATCCATATAAAAACTAATTTCCAGATTTCCAGATTATTTAATTATAACGATTTTCAACCAAAAGTCAGCCAAATATCTAGTATCAATGCTCACAATGTACACTATGATTATATTTCACCGAAAACATTGTATTGAACCTTTATCAAAACGTTTTTTTAAATTGTAAATTACCCATAATGCACCCGATATATCGATATTCGTTTTTACAGAATATAAATATATACACAGCCATTTGCAAAAATTATGGCCGTTTCAAATATACATACAAGTATATCAAAAGTATATCAGACAGGGCATGATATCTTTCTTGATATTTTTTTTTAGAAAGACCTAGTGATAGACAACTCGAAAAAAATATAAGGGAGGATATCCCATAATTTTTGATATTCTTTTGATATACTTGTATATATATTAGAAGCGGCCATAATTTTTGCAAATGGCTGTATATATATTATATATATATGTATATCAGTAAACTGTCGGTTGATATGTGTGGCATGCATGCTGTCTGTTATTGTTGTAGTCCCTATTCTGCCACCACATTCATAAAAAGAGTTTAACACGTTTTGTTGTGTGGTCATCATCAAGTCACAACGACAGCAATCATTCCAATTGATGGTCGCGATAACAAATCTGGTTCAATATCTTAAGGGAATAAGCAAAAACACCTCCTGGGAATGCAATAAGTAAAATGATAAAAATAACCAGATAAAACATTAAGCCATAAGGATACCGCTTAAACCTTATCTTCTGTGAGTCTCGGTTGGTCGTTACTGTCCCCCAATGCGAAGAGAGGCCTTTAAGCGTACTCAAGACCTCGCATAATGATATCATGGTAACGGGCCATGGCAGTAGTAATTAGTGCTTATCAAAAAACAAAAAAACCGCAAAAAGGTTTTTCTAGTTCCAGAAAAAAAGACTTTAGGTGAAGGTATCTGACTTATTGAAACAAAATGAAGATAGTCTGGATAAGAAAAAACATTATTAACGAATTAATTATAAAGTACGCTATAATCATGCAATTGCCAATACCCATAGGATGGTAAACAACAACCTTGATTTAAGCAAAATGAAGACGCGTCGACATCAAATTGTTAGTCAAATGTTATAGAATATATGTTAATTTTTTTTGCTATTAGTTTCTAACCATTCACAACTAGGAACTAAAATTTCATCAAGTCACCAAGCAGAATGCACACAAGTATGTTTTCCTAAGTAGATATTGATCTTAGAGTTTCGAATGCCTACGACATCCTTACAGCCGTACCAGAACCTTCTGAGATTTTTTGATCCCACACGTGTGAAGTTTTTGGTTTTGAATTTTAGAATTAGAAAATATTTGAAATATGACGCGCTGATCGATCAGTCAAGCGATTTCGGGAAACGTCTATTGTGGCTGGCTACGAGTTTATATCAGAAGACAGAGAGACGCTGACTCGCACAAGATCGTTCTAAAACATTTTAGTAAGAAATATAAGCTTGCTTCTCTCTTTCTCTACAGCTCTCAGCGTGTTTTTATCACAGAATAGAAACATGCGCGCGCGTTCTACTAAAAATCCTCAAATAAAAGTAAAAGCACTTAAGAAGATAGTGATGATCACAGAAGATTTTTTCTTCTTTTCACTGGTCACATGGTCTTCCTACAAATCTCGAAGCAATATATATAACAAAAGCACTCACCAAAAAAAGATCTTATCGAAGTGAAAAATCGTACATTGATCTTTTCAAATGGTTTCCCCCTTCAATTTTTCATTGTGGTAGCCGATACTTTGAACTACCGCAGGTTTTAAGGCAACATATATCATATAATCAGTGTTTTGTCTTGATAGTATTATTGGTGTCTGCAAGACCGCGCTTTGAAGTTGCTCATTTACCTTTTTGAAAGAAGGAGGCATTTTCGTAGATTAGAAGAGCGTCCATATTCTTTCCTCTTTTTTATTACTATTACTATTATTATTATTAATATTATTTGCTTCTTTTCTTCTTTGTTTTCGTTT